CAGGGTGTCTCATCCGAGGCTTGTTGGAATTTTTCATTGGGAGGGGTTTTAGCGTAGCGGGACCCAAACCTACTTCTGGCCACTCCCTGCTGAATGGCTATCAAGAGTTTTCCACTTCTGGGCACGGAACCATCCACCTATTTTGCTAACTTTAGTCCTGCAATTACCACGCCCATTTCTAGGGGTTTGTCGCCTTAAAGAAAAATCTTGCCATACAAATATTATATCTGGATAGGTATTTTATCGGAATCTGCAATAAAATTTTTCTTTCTTGCAAAAACCCGATGCTTAACACATTACTAAATATATCTCAACATAAGCTTTCGAAAATAAATTACAAAAAATTTTTGATTCTCCCAAAATAAATTCCCACATCATAAAGCAAAATATTTTGAAAATAGTTCTTGACAAACGCCCATTTCTTGAACCACGTCTTTTATACAGTATTAAACAAGGATTACGATGGTATAATTTTAAACCCCTTGTTTACTAGTCTTCACTACGCAAATAAACTTCAAAAAGTTGAACTGTTAATAGCTAAGTTAGCTTTAGGACAATCTTGACCATCTTATATATATAAGTGTTAAGCCCGTTTCTTTATGATGAGCAGAACCCGAGATATAACGATTTGAAGAAGTACTTGATTAGTCAGAACCAAGAAAAAATGCAAACTTTGACAGATCATATCTCGGAAGAAAAAGAATATCAAAAAAAAATCCTCGAACAGGTGTTAGCTTATTTCACCGAATCGGAGACATGACAGAATTTTATTTTACGAAATCCGTTCGATTTTAAAAAGGACGCCTCATATATAACACAGTCCGACATAAAATTTTTTTCGAGAAAAGATAAGCTATTTTAATAGATTTTGGGCAGCTAAATTTGTAAAAATCGAAGCTTATGTATTTGAATTAAAAAAAATAAGGCCTATAGCAAAATCGGTTAAAACGGCAATTTTTTGCACAACGGCTAACAAATCGGCTGCCGGCCAAACTAAATTTTCTCCGGCTGTTTGCTACCACAACCGGCTAAAACTAGCCAGAAAACGGCTTACCTGGCAATACTGCCTATAATCGATGATAGTTAATATGGTTACTGTTATTGCTATTGTTATGGCTATGACGTTATGGTATCTCACCTCTAATTTAACCTTAACTTGGTAGTACCGCTACATCAATGACCACAAAACTTACTAAATGATTTTCGTGCTCTTTTATTTTTGGCAAGCGTACGCAGAAATTACGTAAATAACAATACTTACAACCCTGCAGTAAAATTTAGAGACAGTCAGTTAAAGCGCTAGTTCCGCTCTACCAATTTCAGAACTATCTCTGAACTAGTACAAAACGGCTGCAGAGAGGGACTTTCGGTATGCTAGTTGCGCTCTGTTGAGAAGTAAATGCACAAATTCGCACTTCTCGTACAATACGCAAATAGCTCAGCGGGAAGACCTCCGACTGTACTATCGTTGGTCGCGAGTTCAAATCGCGGCCGAGGCAGTTGCGATTTTCAGATGTAATCAATTTAAGTTGTTGAGTGCCACTTAAAAATTGAAGAGAAAATTAACAAATTTAATATAAATAAAATAAAAAAATAAATAAAGATTTAATAAAATGCAATCTGTACAGAAAAATCGACAAAATGTAAAAATATCGAATAATCTAAATTTTTTTTTAATAAAAAAACTAATTGTCGCAAATCTGTCCAAAATGGAACCAGTTCACAAAAGACAAAATATCCAATATTCGAGTTTTAAAATTTGTTCGCATAAAAAAATGTATTGTTCCAGAACTTTCCAAAATGGAACCAGTTCAGAACTAGTTCGAAAGTTCTGCCATGTAAAAAGAGACAGTTGAAAGTATTGCGTTGGGATAGTTTGAGAACTAGTACCGCCTCTTAAAGAGCTAGTTCTGCGCTATTTCTGAACTAGCGCGATTTACTGCAGGGAATATATGTACGTATGTACATACATCCATATGTAAATGCCACGTAGATGTCAGCAGTAGCAGCCAGCGTAGTAGGTCCAACTTCACATGTAAATACATCTGTATGAGTTTATACATATATGTAAATGTATGTAAATACATCTGCATGTGTTTACCCTGCAAAAAATTGTGCGACTAATCTCTAACAGTGTTGCCGCGAAGCATTTTTAGTGGTAGCCAAATTCCTTTAACAAAAAGGACTAAAAAAGAGCTAAAAAAAGTCGTTGTGGCTAAAAATGGTAGCTAAAATTGTTTACTTACATAATCATATATAAGTATACATGCAAACATTTTCAATAAGTAATGGTATAGAAAAACAATGAACCCTGGAAAAAGCTAATATTTTATCCAACCAAAAACCTCTTCGTATAAAAGGGAAAATATACGACACCAGCTTGCTGGTTCGATCAAGTGATTGTACCATCAATCTCGAAGCANTTGAATTTGCCTATATAATATTTTCTGAAATTGTTATATTAGTTCTACGGAATGCTGTAATGAGTTCGATACGAGTAAGTATCGAGTACTTCTCTCCGATACATTTGTAGCATCGATACTTTTCTTCGATATTGTTAAAGAGTACAGGTATCGAGTACATGACAGTATCGGAACAACACTACTCTTGCCATGATAATTCAAAAATTCAAAAGAAATTTTTTTATAAACGGTTGCATTTCTTCATTTTAGGTAAAAATTACATACGAATTTATGTAGGTCCAGCCAGACCTNCAGTAATTTTTCTTTGTTACTAAATCTTATAGGTTTCGAGGCTTACTGTAATGATGTAATTGCACATTAAAAGCCAAATCAGGTAGAGCCGAGCAGCAGGCACCAAAAAAGCTGTACAGCATAAAACGTCCGAAAAAAGTAGGCGACTTTTTTAAGACTTCATTGAAAATGTACTGAACGCAAAAAAGACTGACATATTAGGTCCATTCAATAACTTTTCCAGTAAGTACTTGCAGCGAGAGCGTAAAAGAAAAATAGAGATCAAAATTGAGAGCAAGAGAAAATTTTCAGAAAAGGTATTGAACGCCAAACTAGTAAAAACTTGCAACTTAAGCCATTTTGACACTTCCTGACGGTTAGGTTTTGGCGCGCAATTTTCTTTTTAATTGGGAATAGTTTCCATCGTCATAAAAGTAATAAATATAAAATAGATTTAATTTTTGTATCCATATTTTCATTTCACTATTTATGTTTCATCAAATCATCCTCTGAACAGTTTGTTTACATTTGAATTTGAAACATAACCTTACTTTTGGACTCCTGCAAATTCCTGCAAGTAAAATTTTTACTTCCAAGAATTTGCAGCTCTCTCGGGTTGTTACGCTCTCGAATTCGCTCCCTCTTGCAAATATTTTGGGTTATTGAATTCAATTTTAGTAAAAACTTGCAAGTACTAGTAACAATTCGTAACAATTTTTGATATTGAATGGGCCTATTGCTATGCTTCTTCTTAGCAGAACGTAATTTTGCATTTTCGACAACCGAGCTCCTAACCAAATTTCTACAAGAAAAAAAAAATTATTAAAAATCAACGCGATTATTTAGCCCCTTAAAACTTGCACATTATTGCCCTGAAATTTAATGGGCTAAAAAATCTGAATATAAAGTTGAAAATCTAGTTGAAAATTTGCAGATTGTTTATAATTTTTGCACAATTTTTGTGGGTTTATATTTTGTTTGTTAATGAGCTTGGGTAAATAATAAACATTTAATAAACGAAAGAGAAACAGCCAAAATCGATCAAAATGTTGATGACTTAATCAGTTCATCACAAGCTTATGTATAAAATGATTTTTATATTAACGCTCTCAAACGGGTTTACAATGAATTTTAAATGTGCTCTGTCGAAATGATATTTTAATATACCTTACGTACATATCGTCGATGTTTTTACAAAACCACCCATCGACCAGTTGCAAAACCGCCTAAATCGCCATTGTTACAAAAATGATATTTGGTAACCTTGAACTCCAGGTATCGAGATTTATGCATAAAAATCGTAAAATCGTTAGTAAAACAAGAGATTTGTAAAATAATAGCGCAAATATAGCGCATATCAAGGCAATGCCCTCAAAGAAAAGCCGTTTTTTGCTCTCCTGTAAAATTTGAGTGCCATAAGATAGGTGGTTTTGCAATTGGTCGATGGGCGGTTTTGCTAAAACATCGACGATATGTTCCTTTGTATACAATAAAAGTTTAATAAGTACAATTTTTTGTACATTTGGAAAAGACATTTTTGGGTAGGAAATGACGCTTTTTCAGACCAAGAGGGACGTTTTCTCATGCCCAAGACCTGGCAACACTGCTTACAGCATGAAGTACAAACGCAAACTGACCGGCTGCTAGCGGCGCATAAGTTCGGTAGCTGCGCACACACGACTTGTATGTGAAAGTCGAGTAGCTCCCGGAGACTACCGTGTGCACCACTGCTCTAAAGAGAGTATTCCGAGATTACTCTCAATCGATTACAATTGGGCATTAAAATTAGTCGCAACTAGTCTCATACGGGTACTAATGGAGATCAATTAGTCCTCGACTCTTCTCTAAAGGTTACTATCAACGATTTAATGATATGTACGCACTTAGTCAATGAAATTTCATGTGCGGCGTTTGCACATAGAGGAGTATTCCGTTAACAAACTTGAGCACCTGGTTCGAATCGTGGCTTGCGCAATTTTTTATTTTTATTATTTTAAAGTGACTAGCCGCTTTTTGTAACCGTTCGGGCATAAAGGGGAACAATTAGTCTCTTCATAGGACATGCTCGAACAAAAGTGAACAGTTCATTCCATATAAAGAGATCAAAAATGGTATTAGTCGCATGTTACTTTGCGATTGCTCCCGGAGTCATCCCGGATTAGTCGCATTTTTTGCAGGGTACATACATATTTATGTATGTATGAATATGTGTACCATGTATATAGGTAGAGATTAATTAATGCCAGGTGTATGTGTGTATGCAAGTATGTACATATATGTGAAAATTAAATTGTAAACCGGAGGGCAGACAATGATGTTATTATGTAGACCTAAACTTAAGGAAGATGACTATATCAAAATGTATATTTTTTTAATTTGAAATGGCAATAATGGAAAATAATGCTTTCTTATTCAAAAACACATATGTATATATGCATAAGCAAACTTATAAATGGTTTTAATTAGACAAGTTTTTATTAATTATCGAAATAACTAGTACATAATGAAAATTACCTTCATAGCAGATATTTCATATGGCGAAAGGTAAAATATGTAGAACATATATCTAAATTATAGATTACAAATTAGAACACAATATTCGCAATACTGTACTGTAAGATAACATGTATTTCATACATAAATAGAAGCAAAGGAAACAGATGCATATGTTCATATGCACATACATATGTATGTATGTGTTTAAAGCAGAGATGGGCAGCACAGGCACAACTTGCTTATGGAGTTCTGCCAACGCTGTCCATGCCTGATTTCAAGCATGCAAGTAAAAAGAGTCAAAACTAACACATAAAAGTGAGTTATAAAAAAAAATCAACTAAATTGCTGCAATTTTAAGCTAGTCAAATGTACTTGTTAGTGGAACAAGGCAATAAATATGTAATGGAAGCATGCAAACAAATAGCGTAAATTATACTTTAATGCATACATATATGTACATCAATTTTGATTTTATGCACAACCCTCGAAACCAAAAAACGCAGAAAAGTTTGTCCGAACGTGGTAATGGTTACATCGCTGTGGTTATGGCATTGGTAGTTGAGGGCGGTGAATGCCGATAACGGCACAAAGAGTACAAACAAAATTTAACTGATCCTATTTGATAATACATATGTATATATATCAATGCATATTCCTGATATTTTGCGTTTAATTATTAATAGTTGAAGCGAAAAAAAATATTAATGGACTTATGTATATGCATACATATGTCTGTACATTAGTATGCCTCGAAATAAAAATTGCGAAATCATAAAATTTTATATTTTTTATGGCCTGCATCAAAATATTTTGTCCAAATATCGTACCTTTCAATAACTATATCGCGTCGAAAATATCTCTTTAAATCGCGTGTTTTGTCATAAAATTTTAATAAACGCAAAAAGGACCGAAGCCTTCATAACTTTAACGAATATAAAAAAAAATTCAATCTACTAACTCATTTATAGCGGTTTGAGCTACCACAAATGTCACATATGAACGATCAGCAGTATGGGAGATATACCTAAGTTATACTGAGAGCGGCGGCTGTGGTGTAGTGGTTAAAAGTGCGCGCTACCACTCCACAGTGCCCAAGATCGAGCCCAGTTTCAGACTATCGTTAAAAACAAAATAAAAGAAAATCGGAAGAGAAGCTCGGCCTAACACTTAACAAAAGTATAAGCGCTAATACACTATTAAAATTTTAGTCGGCTATTTGTAAAAATGCGTCCAGTTTTTGAGTGCACGGCTGTAGTTTAAACTGTGTTTACACACTCGAGCTGGCTGGTTTAAACTTTGATTAGGCAATCAAATGTCAGCCAGCTGTGCAACGAAAAACGCAATTTATGTGACAGTAATGAAAAACAGATGATTTGATCTACTCAGCTAGTCGTACCGGTCATTTTGGTACAGATTTTTTCTTCATCTTGTACTTAAAAACATCGAGCTAAAGCTATAATGCAGCTTCATGTTTATGAAATGTATAAAAACCAGTCAGCTTGTTCAAAATAAGGCCATTCTCTGTGCAATTTTCGGCATTTTTATGCAGCCTTAAATAGTAGCTTAACCCAGGGTTGGGAAATGAAGTTTTGCCGCCAATACGAAATCTCTACAAAATTTTACTTACCGACTGTCTTACGATCTTACTATCGGTATTACCCTTCAAGAAATGATTTTATGGTACATTTATTTGCATATATACTTATTATACACTTTTAAAAATTGATTCACATGTACATATGTATGTAGGTGTTTAGAAAATATCGTTCACATGTGTACATATATGTGTGTATGCAAATTACATTATTCGACAAGAAAGTACCTTTCAATAAAATTCCAAGGATAATTCTGACTTAGTTCAAGTTTGCTCGCACTCCGGCGTAAAACAAACGGCGGGCCAACTGCATAACTATTACAAGAGAAGGCAAAGTACCGGGTCCATAAATACTCGATGGTCTGGCTTCCATCATTGACCCTTCTGCGGGAGTTCGGAATCAGCTTCCAAGCACTCTCCCTCCAAGGATGACTGAACCAAGATTCCGCTCATACCCGCCTCTGAACGTTACAAGAACAGGTTACTGCGGTTTAATGCTACAAAAGGTTTTAGGTTACGGTCCTAGGCATGGGTATTGTGGCGAAATTTTGTTCTGACCAAAACGTACGAATTCGTCGAAACCAACTGCGAAACTCCAAAGGTAGGGTTTTGATGTTGCCGTTTATTAATTCAATCACTTACAGCTAGTACAAATATGCACGCCACTATGGTGGGCATGGTAGAACGATTAAAAGCGGAATGGAATGACGTGCACGAGCATAATGAGAAGGAAGTTAACGCTAAATTACATTGTTTATTTTCTGGCAATTCTTCAATTTCTTCTTCTATATCTTCTTTTAGCGTTTCATTTATGACAATAAATTCTTTCAACTCTAAGTATTTCTGCATTTACACGTTTTGTTTCCTTTTGCTTTTGTAATTCATTTGTTAAATTTTTTCTGGTTCTTTGTTATTTAAATGAATACGCTGAGTATAATCGGCTGGAATACCTGGCTTATAATTCTCATTACCCGTTGAGTTGCATTTAATCATTTGCCGTTTCCAGAATTTATCAATATCTATTGGCTTCATTAAATATATTTGCCTACCAATGCGTTTTAAAATTCTGCATTTGGTCCAAGAAATCTTCCCGGAATCGAATAGTTGTTTGCAATTACAATCTCGTGCTCCTTAAACCCTCCTTTTTCCTTTCCCTTATAGTATTTGATTTGCTCTGCTTGCTTTTTCTCAATATTTTTCTTTACTCAAGCAATCGGTTTTTTTTGCAAATTTTCGCCACGGATTTAGGATGTCTAGCCTAGTTCTAAGTTGCCGGTTTAACACTAATTGCATTTCTATAGTCTCATAAAAACCTTAGGAGAACATTTTTAAATTGTGAAAACTTGGTATAATACAAATTTTTCTTTAATGATCTTTTTACGGTTTGCACCAAATTTTCTGCTTGACCATTGGTGGCGGGGTGGCCAACGGGAATTGTTTTATGTTTAATGGCGTCTGGCCATTCCCAGGGAATAAGTTCTTGTTTGACGGGGTTTGAACCATTCATTAAGCATGGCTCGCAACCCACGTTTTCTAAATGTCTACTCTGATTTGGCCACCAGCAACACTCTCTAGCCATAGATTTAATTTTTGGCAATGCCCAAGTGCGATATGTGCAAAAATAGCGCAACCTTTGCCTTCAATGCTTTTGGGATTATGATTCGGAAGTCCCAAAATAAGCATCCATCTTTTTCGGAGAGCTCTAGCTTCTTTACAAAAAATGGCTTCAACTCATTATCTGCCGATTTTTCTGGCCAGCTTGTCCTGATGCAGCTAACTACTTTTTTAAGCGTGTTGTCGACTCAAGTTTCTTTTCTAATGGCCTCAATATCAATAGGCAACGAGCTAGTCCCCAGAAAATAGTTTAGCGCGACGTCTTGTGGCCATTCGTTTTGCCCTTCGTTTCTCGTAGGATTTCTTGCAAAATAATCTGCAGCATTAGCTTCCGACTTAATATGTATGATGTCATATTCGTAGCCTGATAGTACGATAGCCATGTGCTACAGTCGATTAGCGTCCTTGACTGGAATGCTTTTTTTAGGATTAAAAATATGCTGCAGCGGTTTGTTGTCGGTCACGAGTATGAGCCGCCTTCCATACAAATAGCGATGGACCCCCTTGACCCCATATAAAATAGCTAAAGCTTTTCTATCCAATTGCTAATATTGCTGCTCGGTATCGGACAACTTCCTAGAAGCGAATTTGATGGGCGCCTCGTGTCCAGTTCCTGACACTTGTGATAGGATGGCCCCTACACCCACTGGACTTGCGTCCACGGCGAGCTTAATCTTACATTGCGGATTAAAATGCGCCAGACAACTGCCCGCTTTCAACCTTTTCTTCAAAATACCTATTGCGCGTTTACACTCCTCAGCAAAATTAAACTTCTCACCGGCCTTCAACAGCACATACAGTGATGCGCATACGTGAGCTACGTTCGGTATAAACTTCCTATAAAAGTTTACTACATTTAGAAATGCTTTAAGGTCTTTTGCGTACTTCGATATGGCATACTCTCTATAGCTTCGACCTTCTCTGGACTGATATGTAACCCATTTTTATCTATTACATGTCCCAGATAGTTGATCTTCTTAACAAAAAAATCGCACTTACTGAGCGACAATTTTAACCTTACATTCTGCAATATTCGTAAAACTTTCTCTAATCGCTCGATGTGCATATTGCGAATCGCTGCGGTTATCACGATATTATCCAGGAATACTACCACCCCCCCACAGACATTAAAAAATGTTCCATAATTCTTTGGAAAAGGGCCGGTGCTGATGCCAAGCCCTAAATCAACCGGGCGTATTGGAATATTGTAGTCAGCTTCTTCGAAGATTCATCTAGCGGAATCTGCTGATAAGCCAAACTCAAATCTAGTTTCGAAAACTCTTCCCTCCCCCACCATGCAGTTTTGAAAATATATCCTCTATTCGTGGAAGTGGATAATTTTCGATCATTAGACTGGGATTCTGTATCAATCGCCGCATATTCTTACCTCTCCATTTTTCTTTAGCACTGGAACCATTGGCGTCCCCCAATCACAGTAATTAACCGGCTCTAATACCCCAATATCTACTAGCTTCTGTTGCTCGCCCGTTGTTGAATCTACCGTCAAACAAGCTCTAGAACTTTTGCAGTATTCCGTCTTTAGCTTCTACTTTAATAGTTAATGTAATTTAACTCAGTAATATTTAAATTAAATGCTCGCAAAAAATTTCTACCAAGCAATGGCGGCCCACTGTTCCGTATTCCCTTAACGGAGACAGTGGTTTGAACGCCATGCCGTTATAGCCCTGTAGTCAAATGTACTAGTTGTAAACTACTTCACAACTAGTATGAACCACATGCCCAACTAGTCAGCCAACTATCTTTTTTCCATGCAACCAACTGGTATTTTTAACATGGGGATGTCCTACGAGATGGCAATTGTCAGATTTCGGTCAGAAATATCCCAGTCTCATACTAGTTCAAAATAGACAGAAAATACTAGTCCAATTATCGACCAAAACCACTACTTTGGGAGTCAAAAAATAAAATGAATTCATGAATACACTATAAAAAACTTCTGATTAAGTACACTTTAATATATCACACATTGTTATTTAGCAGCCTCAGATGTTCCAATAATTAGTGTAAATTTTTTTGACTATTAATTAAAAGCAAAACTAAATACATAAATATTTCCAACTTTCGAACATAAATTTAAATGCATTTCTTATAAAAAGTAAAAGGTTTCAGGAACAATAAATACTATATATTTATCTTTTTTAATAATGTTGAATCTGCAAAGGAAAAAATTTTAGTTAAAAATAAAATTAATACGTCAGTTAATACTTTAGTAATAAAATAAATTAAAATATTTTATATAGTATTAAAATAAATTAAATTCATTAACTTTCCACATTTCAGTTTATTCTTTTTAAAAATTTATAAGAGTAACAATTAAGGTTTAAAATTTGAGATTTGGATAAAAATAAAATAAATAAAAAACTCAAGTACATAGTTATTGAGAATTTTTAAATTTTGTCTATAGTTTGGATTGTTGATCGATAATAGAAGTTAAGCAAATAATTATATCGTGTAATTAAAAAAAAGTCGAATTTAATTGAAAATGATCAAAAATAACAAAATTATGACGTAATTAAAATTAAATAATTAATTTACTTTTTTTAAGTAATTAATTATTAATCATTAAAAAGGTGGTAATATCGGTATTTAATCAACTAAACGGTGATCAAAAAAACATGCTTTAATTAATAGTCATTATGAATATTAATCATTATTTAACAGGCCTGGTATAATCGAATACGTACTCAATTTAATGGGTTACAATATACCCAAATAAAAGTTATAATATTTGGTGTACTTTATCGTATTAAACTGTCGAAGTCAAATCAAACAGGGCATGAATAAATAGTTTTGTACTTGGTACAAGTCTGGTCATTTTCGAACTAGTTGGTTTCTGTCAGGGAATTCTAGTTGTAAACTAGTATTTTTCCTGACTAGTTTGGGATTTCACTGCAGGGAGGTTTTAAAAATTATAGCAGATGGTTTAAGAGGAGCTTTGCTTAAGTAGCGCTTGAATCTATCGACCGAGATTACACTATATTCTGACTCCGTGTCTGATTCCATTTCTAAGGCTACGCTTGTAATACACTTTAATCGGACCGTCTGCGCAACTTTTAATAGAAAAAAGATTAATTTCTGTATTGTCTACAAAATGAAATTTTGTATTCCTATTTTTACAAACTTTCTTTAGGTGACCTTGTTACAAATACTGCATTTATAATTTCTGAACTTACAAATACCACTTAATTGACTCGCATGCCCGCATACGGTACATCCCTGCTGCGAATGGTGCTGCTGTTACGCTTGCTGCTTCTGTCGACCGTCTGCTTATAACCTGTCGTGTCACCTTGTCTGCTTGCGCCATCTCACTTGTTTTTGTTACCTCGCATATATAACAAATTTTCTTGCGGCTCCTCTTTTACAGTGGTAGTGTCATACTGCTGCT